TTTTTGTGTGAGTGTTTGGAGAGAGACTGGTCACGATAGGAGAGAGTCAGAAGAGGAGCAAGCGTCTTTTCCCTACCTGGATTTCCCCGGAGCCTTTTCCCTGTCACCGCTTTGTATATAGCACTACCCCCTGCACTATTTGTATATACACCTGGTGGAACTGTAATAAATACCAACTGTGCCTCTGAGTCCTGCGTGTGAGTCCTCAAGCGAACCGTGACAGAAACAGTGAGAGTCTAGGACAGTTAGAGTTGACTCCCATCTCCAGAGCAATTGTCCGCCACATGGGTGTTGATGTGTCACCTGATGGTTTAGCTGCACGTAGCTGCAGAAGCATTGCTCTGATTATATATGGAGCCCCAGTGACAGGTTAAAATAAAAAAACGCAGATTCCTCCTAATTTGAATAGTTAAATGAAGACAGAGTGTAAAAAAAAAAAGTAATCAGCTACCATATTTAGCATGGTAGAAAGGGTGTTTTTCTCTTTTTTCTTAGATAAGAGCAGCACAACAGCTGCTATGGCATGTCAGTATGGAGCAGTGTGCCTTAGTGTTGATGCTGTGGCTGCAGATGTGCCGCTAAATGGCACTTCACCAGTTAGCCTGACTGCCAGACAACTATTTGACTCTGCTGCTGTGGAGTATGCTCAAAAGAATGCTGGTAAGCTGGAAGTTAGAGAAGTAGGTTGTGATGGACACCCTGCATGAGACTGTACGAGCACTGAGCAGTTCAGCAGTAGATTTTTACAATCACAGTGTAGGAAGGAGCGCTACCGCAGGTCATTCATACCAGCAGCTGTCAGACTATAATGCAGCTTAATATTCTTTTGATCATCTTACTCACCAGTTTGTTTGTTTACTGTACATTTTATACGTATCTCCGTACAATTTTTTTAAATTTTTCTATACATATTCTGTACATTGTTACCTGTATATACCTGTATATACAAACTCAGATGCTTATGTATATAGGACCACCTAGTGTCTTCCTTTTATATTTTTATTTTCCCTTGCTGTAAGAGCTCTGTAACACCGAAATTTCTCATCCGTGGGATAATAAAGGTTTAATCTATTCTAATCTTTTCTATTCTATTCTATTCTTTTCTATTCTATTCTAACTTCAGAATTAGAGCCTGCAACACCTCATCTACTTTTCCACCTGGTACAACAAATAACTGTGAGGACAGAAGCAGTGAAGATGACTCTAGGGCTCCCCCGATCTCAAAATATTTCTTTATCTTTTGACTTCAACTTCTAAAATGACTTTTTCAAAAAACCTTTTAGTCCTGTTTCAGTGTATTTATATTCTCAATAAAGTGGATGTTTTAGCATCTTTGTTTTGTAGTAAATAAGATTAATTAACCACCTAACTGGAAACATTGATTATACTTTGCTAAATTTTGTACACACATGCAGCATGACATTACTATGACATTCACTTCAAATTAGTCTGCAGGATGATTCTATGATACATTATATTGACACACACCATGCTAATTTGATATTGCATTCTCAGCAAATTTACAGTAAATGAAACAAAACACAAATTTATTTTTATTTAATTTTTTTTATTTAATTTTTTTTCTGTTTTCATGGTGTGGCACTGTTTCTTAACTTAAAATGTCCTGTTGTAATTGGACATTTTAAGTTAAGAAACAGTGCCAAACCCTGTCACTTCCCTCAAAGTGCTTTATATTGTAAGGTCATGACCTTTCAATAATGCACAGAAAATCCAACCCCCAATGAGCAAGCACTTTTGCAACAGTGGGAAGGAAAAACCCTCTTTTAACAGGGGGAAGCCTCCAGCAGAACCAGGCTCAGGGATGGGGTGGCCATCTGCCGCGGCCAGTTGGGAATGAGGGAAGGAAGACAGGAGAAAAAGAGTGGCCATTTTTAACCACTCTTGGTTTTTGAAACTAAATTTAGATTGCCCAATTGAATTGAATATTTTAAACTAGTTTAAGAGTTTTGCCACAAAATCACAAGCAGAAGCCCAAGAGATGATACTTCGTCTCTTCACTATGGCGTGTTTCTTGAAGGTTTGGAAAATCACTTCGTCAGTCATTGGGTTGCTTGTATTCATGAGCTGTCCGGGGGAAGGCCACCTTTTGTGGAGTTCATCATATACTGTCAAGCTGAGTTCTTCAATGTTCTCGAGGGAGATTTCAAAATTGCTGGACAAAATTTGGTTCCAGATCTTTTGGCTCAGCCTCTGTATAATGAAGTCAAATGTTGCCGAATACCAGCTCGTCATCTCGTTTAGTTCACCCATAGCGTGTATTACCAGATCTTTAGTGAAGTTTTCCACAACTTCCCTGTACTCGTCCCTGTTTTTAGATACACTGAGTACTCTTTTTGGTAATGCTAACAGGTGTCTGGTGAAGACTGGGACAGTAATACTATCGAGCTGTTCCCTCAGACTAAAAATCAAATCTTTTTCCTTGCACTTATGTATTTTGCAAAGGTCCTTTAAAATGGCCTTGTCAACATTTTTCAGGCTTTTTGGAGATAAATCCAGATGTTTCTCATTAATTTCAGGCCAGATTTTCTCAAGTAGCCGATCACTGATGCAGTGAGGAGTGAGGCGCTGTGTGAAGATCTTGTATTCAGAGGAGACTTTGTCTGTGGCCTTTGAAATCACTAACTGAATAACGTTGTTGACACACAGCTTTTCCCCACTCAGAGACTCAGATAGCGGACTGATCTCAGAAAAACTTAAACACTCAATATCAGGGAGGAATTCCTGGAATATGGGGGTTGCCTCATCTTCCAGTTCTTCACTTTCTATTTCATCCCAGTGGCTTGAGGTGTCTAATGACATGCATTCTATGTCTGGTTGAGCCTCCAGTCCTGGAGTCTCTATTTTTTCACCATCACTGTGGTCCTCTACAGAGCTTTCATTCAGGATGCAGTCCTTTGCTCCTGTATCATCAGTTTTTTCTGGGAAGTCTGCGCCCACGGACTCAAGACAGACATCAGTCTGTGTGCAGGCCAGATCTGCATTTTCCGTGGTATCCCAAGTTAATCTCATAAACGTGTTACAAAATTTCACCATGTCTGAGGTGTAAGTGAGTGGGGAAGTCATATCAAAGTTTGTATCTATACTTTCCAAACTCTGCATTGGGTTAGGGTTTTCCTGATCGCCATGGTTATGTACGGCGCTTTCATTCAGGATGCTGTCCTTTTCTCCTGAATCAGCTGTTTTCTCGGGGAGGTCTGCACCCACGGACTCAAGACAGACCTCAGTCTGTGTGCAGGCCAGATCTGCATTTTCCGTGGTATCCCAAGTTAATCTCATAAACGTGTTGCAAAATTTCACCATGTCTGAAGTGTAAGTGAGTGGGGAAGTCATGCTGACGTTTGTGTCTGTACTTTTCAAACTCTCAACCGGGGAAGAGGAATTCAGTTGATGAGTGGTTGGAGTTGCGGTAAACATGTGTGCTCGTTGCAAACTGAATGTGCTTAAATTACACTCGCTGTTCTGATGCATTAATGCTCTCTGAACTAAACTGTACTAGAGTGGTTAAGGTCGATTTATGGACTTTAGCCACGCCCACTTTAACGACCATAAAAGGACTGCTCATAGATCAAAGCCTGTGACGTGTGTGACGTCACGCGGTGTTCCTCGTTCGAAGAAAACTCTGGTTAAAGTAAGTGTTAGCCGTCATATGGCTCATTTATCAATGGAGAATGTGGAAAATTAATTAATTCATTATGGCGAATTAATAGCGATAATATATTCATAAGCACTCCAAGGTGAACAAATACAGACAGGCTTTGAATGCTGCCTGTTTTTAAATGTCGCTAATAAAGTGTCGTACAAACATCTGGATTTGTTAACACGGCTAACGATAGGTTGGTTAATGTCCTAGCTTGGCCTGCACGATAAAATCTCAGTAAGAATTGTCAGCTCTCTGCACTTTACTTGAGTATTTATTTTGCTGACAGCTTTTTACTTTTACTCCCTACATTTTAACACAAATGTCTGCACTTACTACTCGTTAAATTTTCAAAACAGGCTCGTTACTTTCAGTGTTGCCACTCCTCAGTAAGGAAATTCCTTATTGGCTGTCCTAAAAGTAGCTAGAAGTGATGTCATGGCTTAATTTGCTTAATTGGTCGTGCATACTTAATTGTGACCGACGCTGTAGGAGAGAGAAATAACATCGTGGAAGAGACATAAAGTGAGTAAAAAACACCCTGAATGCATTTAGAATAAATTTCGAACTACAAATAAAAGTTTTATAACAATTTTCTTTTTTTTAATGTCATAATGCCAACCCACCTCCCTTATCCGGGCTCGGGACCGGCAAAAGTGACCCGAGATAGGCCCTTTGGCAGAGTTATTTTATTTTATTTTACTTTTTGTCTTTTTAAGTTTTTTCTTTTTTTTTTTCTTTTTTTAATGTCTTTTTAAGTAATTTTAAAAGGTAGAAAAGCCAAATGACTGCTCTCTGGGACTCTAGGTTAAACCACACAAGAGAAACAGTAAAAGAACATTTTTAACCATAACGTTGTTAACAAACTACATTAGCAATCTAAATGGACCGAAAATAGTCAGTAGAATAAACAGTGGCAGTGTGGAAAAACTGATGGGAACTAGTCTGGTCCTAATTCAGGCTCATTGTTTGTTTGTTTGTTTGTTTGTTTTCTAGACATCCCTGCACAAATATTGGCTGCTGGCCCACAGAAAGAGTGGGTCATCCTCATTTTCGTCAAGATTCAGCAACCAGGTTCAGCAACTTTAGCACCTGAATGAGTAAGCTGCAAAACATTACCAGACAGCTTCGGTCCATATCAGATGTACAGGGTGGAGTTGAGGCTTTGCAGGGACGTACGATTTCTGCTTTTTACCACACTCATCTGACTGAATACTCGCTCAACTTCAGCATTTGAGTGTGGCAAGGACAACACAGACACAGCAGCCATGGCAAGTTCTCGAAACAGGTTGATATCAGCTGCATCCCTGTACTTCCAAATCTCACTCCAGAAGCCCATTGTATTTTTTTTTTTGTCTCATTCCATTTACTTAGAGGGATGGTACACCATTGGTAGACATTCTTATCTATCACTTCAGGGGAGAAGCCAAGACATTTAGTAATTTTTTCTATTTCTCAAGGGCTCTTGTTGTGCTTTAGAGTTTTCTCCCTCCACATTTAAACTGACATGTACTGCAATGCTTCAATGTTGTCCGGCAGTCTCACCCTCAACTCAACAGGCTACACACCACTTTCTGACATATTTTTAATCCTCAGGCGCAAGGTGCAACTTGACTGCTTTCAACTCAAAAGGGTAACCAATTTATGGTTTGGAACTGAGCTTTAAAGTAGTGTTTACCCTCAAAAGCCTTGATGGCGGGCTGTACCTCTCCCAGCACAAAGCTTATTGGACCTGTTTTCTATAGGTGATTGAACCCAACACTGGGAGAGGAGGAGAAACTGTAAGCAACAACTATCAAGGTTTCAGCCCAGTATACTTTCATTAGGTGAAGACTTGATTCTTACTGTTATCTCTGATATAATATTATTAGAAGTACAGAAACAATATAAAATAATCACATTTAGAAGTGAATTTATCAAATTGCATTTCTTGCTACCTTTCTGACTTCTTATTTTGTTTATAATATGCAGCGGATATTTTTTGTGTTCTCTCTTTAGATACATGATCACGCCTGCATGTGACAACAACTTTGGTCCACTGATCTACGGCACCAAGAAAACCCAAAGCTTCACCATGGAATACCATGGAGACTTCAAGACTTCTTTCACCAAGGTACCTTTGGACTGTTACCTGTGTGTTGGTGGTTGTTGTTTGGCTGTACTCAGCTGATTCACGGGATTTAGCAGGTATATTTCTATGAACCAGAGTAGGTGCAGCATCTTGTCTAAGGTCAGCTGAAATGGTTGAACACAGTTATTTTGGAGTTGACCTTATTAAATATGTGTTTGTAGGAATTTAACATTTTGGAAGGAGCAGTTGCATGTTCAGGGCTGTGGCATGGGGTGGCCCAAACTGTGTGGAAATGTGATTGTTTAAACTCCATATTACTTATTTTATAGTTTAGGTTACTTATTAGTTTTGATGTTAATATCTAATATAATGTACTAATGTAGATTGGTAACAATAGGCTGTGTTATTACTAATCTGCATACTGTTTTTATTATGATATAGATATAGATATAGATATATACTGCCCAGGAGTGTATAGTAATTAAATTGTTCTTTTAGCTGGCATTAAGTAGAATTCTTTTTGTTTTTTCATGCAAACATTTCTTCATAAAATTTTTTTCTCCTGTCAAAAAGGTTTGTCTGATAATATAGTGTCTGGGCTTTCAAAATCGTTTATTCCCGAGATTTGATGAGTTAGTTAATTACGAAGAGATATTTTGACCCACTACTAACTCTGAAACACCTCCCCCGTTGTCCGTGAAAAGAAGTTTATAGTGCTGAAGCATTATAGTTTTCATAATGTTAATGATTAAGTGTTAATGTAATCCTAATAATTTGGGGCTTTGTGTTTTGGGGTTTTTTTGTCCTTATTTTCTGGTCTAAGAGGTCCACATAACATAATACCAGGAAAAAACCTTTCAGGGAGGTCTAGTCTTTCCAGCGCCACAGGAGTCTTTCCAGAATTTTCTACAGTTGAGAAACTGTTGGTAAATTTAACAGCAGTGATGGAGGATAACACGTTACCCTGTGTATTTGTTTTGGCCATAATTGCACTGTTCGTCATTTTGAGATTATTCAGCCGTGTGTAATTAAATCATGAATAATCATAAAACAATCCTGATTTTTTTGTGTTTTAATTGATCAAACTCATTTGAGTTTTTGCACAAGAGAAACACTATTTCACAGCATCACACGCAGGTCTTTATTTAATCCCACGCTTGTTACAGCAGAACAAGGGACAAAAAGAAAAAGTGATTTTGAGACATATTAGAAAAAACAATAACTGTAATTACAGAAACTGAGCCATGATTAATATCATTGGTTTCAACCCCATAGTTCCTGTTAATGACTATCAAATCAAAGCGTGTGCTTTGAAAAGGTCAGTGAATCTGATTACAAAAATATTTATATATTATATTTTTCTAATTGTTTTGTAAAATATTTATAATATAAATATAAATAACACCAAAACTGCCTTTGCTGTTTCCTTTTTCTCTTTTTTTCACCAAGCAAACAGTCCATCCACTGATTGTGCTGTTTGACATTAAATTAGATTAATTTTGTTATTTTTGTTCTCATTGAAAGCTTCCTCAGTGTCTCATTAAAATATGCAAATTCCTTCTGACAACACAGTGCTCATTTTTCAAGGAACCACAGTTACCCTGGTAACCAAACATTTTCCAGGACTCTCCTCACCTCTCCATTCTTCTTCTTTCTTCCATGTGTGTGTGTGTGTATCTCTGTTTTCGCTTTTTGTTTCCAGGCACAGTGTTAGACATGGCCTCCATCTTTGAGGAAAACCATCTGTGCCCCAGCAGTAGCCAGCTTTCCTCTGAGCAGTTTTGCAATGTTGAATCCATCTTTGTACAAGATGAAAACAAATTTATCTTCAACAATATTCAAACCAGCCAAGCTCGCTTCAAACTCGCCAACAGCAGCAAGTTTCCCTGTGTGCTCATCTTAAGAGATTTCACAGGTCTTTCCTCCCCACTGCTGTCAGACTCCACAATAAAGACTTTAACTGATCAAACACATCCACAAATGTGCAATAACACTAATGTGCAATAATGTTTTCTGGCATCGTTGTATTTTTACTCAGTTGTATGTAGCATTTGTATTCTATTTTTTTCTTATTGTATATTTTATTTTATTTTATTCTACTGTATATAGTATTTTATTTATTCTATTCTGTACAGTTGTGTACTGTAGTTATTCTTATTGTATTCTAATTTTTGCTTCATAACTTTTGCACTGTCCACTTCCTGCTGTGACAAAACAAATTTCCCACGTGTGAGACTAATAAAGGTTATCTTATCTTATCTTAGCCATCAAATGTGTTGGGCCCAAGGTGAGGCATTTAAAATCTCATGGATAAATGTATACAGGACTATCTCTCATTGTGGTACAGTACAAAGAAATTTGATCAAATCATCTAAAAGATAATGTATTTTTTTAGTTAATTGGACAAATCGAGGTGTGTGATATGCCTACAACAACACTGAGCTTTCCCAGCCAGTGGTACGCCTTTGCTGTTGCTACCTTCACACCTCAAACACAGCACTCACACAGTGCTGTGTTTGAGGCCCAAGTGGAGGAAAGTAGCAGGTAAACAACTATGTGACTGCTACTGTGGTGTTGTCTTTACTCTTCCTATGGATATTCACCTCTCTTGGCACTCTCTTACTTAGTAGTAGCACCTCTTGTATGCTCCTGCTGGCTTCATGCTTTCTTTACTCTGCTGCTTTCAGAATGACACCCACCATTAGGAACAAGGTGCTGCAGTTTGAGCTTCTAGGATAAGGCACCAGTGTTTGTGCGGTACGGCCAGCTCTGAAGAACACTGAAGGAGGCCCAGTGTTGCACTTCAGGCTGGGTACTTGTTGGGTGTAGACATACACTGTCTCTGGTGCTGTTAAACAATGGAAATGTGCCAGGTGAGGTGAGATGAGATACTTTGTTCAGTTCTTACAAATGTTTTTATCTGTTTACTTGCTTTAAATAAAAGAAAACCAAGACATAAATAAATTAAATCTTTACAACACACTCATGAGCGTAGCACACAGGCTTGGTAGAATTTTGTGAATAAATGTACTTTCTGAAATTGTGTGTAGGTCCAGATTGACATGCTGGATAAACATGGTGTGTTCAACCTCAAAGCTGGTCTTGGGAGTAATAACATCTCCATTAACTCCACACAGCTTCCCTCAGGTAAAGCTTGAATCTGCCTACAATAAACTGCATCTCCTCTTCATTTAATTAATTAATAGGAGCTCATGCACAAATAAAGAGGTTAATATTACTTTAATTTGTGCCTTGTTCCCTTCCCATTAAGTATTGTTAGTGTTATTACTGAGGTTCAGAATTAAGGCCTGTTCACTGTGGTACATTATGCAGAGTAGCAACAGCACAGTAAAGAAGCCAGCCTTTGAAAACCGTGTGTTTTTACAGTCATTTTACGTTGGCTTTCTGAAAACAAAGCTGAAACAGTTTTAATACAACCCTGTTCACTGAATCACCAACATTTTAGACAGTGAAGTTTGCCTGCTCAGTATCATCTAATGGTGATCTGAACTATCTGCAACACTTTAGATCAAATTTAATCTTATTTTAGTTCAACAAATGCACTGAAAACTAGTGGGTAAGGCTTCCTGTGTGAAAAACCTATAATAGTAATTAATTAGCCTCATCATGTTCCAGTGTACACTTTAAACCAGTATACTTTCTTTACTGACACCTAAGTTATTTTGATATATTGATGTCGACTTGGTTTCTTCTGTTTTTTCCACTTCTATTAATGCATGGAAAATATACTTGAAGCTATCTTTAGCCTATCATTTGGCTTGATTTTTAAAACAATATTCCATTTTTATGTTGCACAATAAACACACCGATTTCTCATTTTTGACATTTTTCCTCTCCAGCGCATAATGTGGTGCAAAGAGCCAACCTGACGCTGAATGTTAATGAACAGGTGGAGTTCCAGATCACCTTCTGCTCTGACAGACACCTGAGTGTCAAGGTGAAAATTTCACTGCAAGTGAAGGACAACCAGCAGAGCGATACCACAATACAAGTGAGACGAGACACTTATCAGGAAATCGTCTCTCTGGAAAACATCAGCAGGTCATGGATCAGAAAGATGATGAAGAAGGTATGAGCAGAGGGGAGGACAGAGATCGTTTGAACTGTAAGTCTTGTAATCTAGTAAAACAGAAGCTTGTACCCTTTCATGAATGCCCACATTATCTTTCACAGGTAA